AAAATCCCTCAAAACCCCAACCCCTATACCTCTAAAATATTGTATTTTCAATTTTTTTTTTTGAGATTTTTCCAAATTATTGTGGGGAAAGATACCTAATCTTGAGCTAAAAATCTTTGATTGCAACTGGGTTCTTTTTCAATCGTGAGGTTTAGGGCTTGTTCTGGTGGGTTTTTTTTGGAGGATCGATTGTTGTTGAGAAATGGGAAGTAGAAGAGAAGAAGAGAAGAACGAGAAAATAATAAGAGGTCTCATGAAGCTGCCTCCTAATCGTAGGTGTATCAACTGCAACAGCTTGGTAAGTATTGACTCTTTCACTTGTGCAAATTCTAGTTCCATTTCGATCTTTTTTTGAAGAGGTAATAGTTGTGGGTTTTTTTCAATTTCTTTTCCTGGCTTTTTATGGTGGAAGTGGGAAAAAAAAGGAGGGATTTTACGTTACTGTGAAGGTTGTGAACTTGGGGTTCTTTCGTTTAACTTGCATGCAATTATTAATAAATTTGAACAGATAAGATTTCTTTTGGCACAAAAGGAAAAGAACAGATTAGCTATCTTGTCCGAAAGGCCTTCTATCCCTTGCATTTTTAATCATCTTGAAGCCTGGAAATAATAGTTGTTTCCCATGAAATGAAGGAGATAAATTAGCTGTTTTAAAAGTTTTCGTCTTTACTTTTTAAATTATTTTCTGGCTTCGTTTTCTTTTTCTGTCAAATAATTCTAAAATAATTGTTTACCATGAATTTGATGGGTTAAATTACCTTCTTTGAGTTAAATTAGTTCTTTCTTATTGCTTGTTCTGTAATCTTTTTAAAATTTTAAGTCAATGCGTGCAGGTACCTCAGTATGTTTGTACAAATTTTTGGACTTTTGTTTGTATAACCTGCAGTGGAATTCAGTGAGTATCTTTTTCTCAATGAAACTTTTACTCATTTCATGATCTAAGTTAACCAATCACAGTTCTTGTGGATTGGATCATCTATATAAATATACAAAGGGAAACTCAACATATTATTAGCTTCTTTCTAGAAGTGGATGGTCAATTTCTGAAGCATTATGTTTGGTATTATTTTCTTAATCTTCTACAAATTGATGCATCACTATATATCAAATATATATTATTTCCAGATTTTTTTTATTATTGGTGACTGCAATTAAATTGCTTTATTGGAGGAGTTATTTTTCCATTTCTGTTGATAATTATATTTTCTTGCATGATTTTGGCAGAGTTACACTGTAATTACATACTTTTCTAATTCATCTTATTTTCTGGTTTTCTCGGTATTTTTCTTTTCCTCTATGTGTTATTTTGGTCATGCAGTCGTGAGTTTACTCATCGTGTGAAGTCTGTATCCATGTCTAAGTTCACTTCTCAGGAAGTTGAAGCTCTTCAAAATGGTGGTAATCAGGTACACGCCTGTGCTGCATTTTCTCTTCTCTTTGACAACAGTTGGCTGCTTATGACTCTGCTGATTGAATGTTTATTGTTTCACTCATTTCAGCGTGCAAGAGAAATATATCTGAAGGATTGGGACATACAAAAACAAAGGTTGCCTACTAGCAGGTAAAGAAGCATGTTATTTGTTGCCTTGATTACTACCCATGTATGCAGTGAAGTGGGGTGTTTCCTAACCATTTCTTCCCCTTTGCAGCAATGCTGATAAAATCCGCGAGTTTATAAAGAATGTATATGTGGATAGAAGATATGCCGGAGGAAAGAGCTCAAATAATCCTCCAAGAGATATGCAGGCAATATTATTTGATTTGATTTGATATACAAAGTGATAGTGCATATCTGATAGAAACAAAGTTAAACTTAACATTAGTTGCTTTTTAGTTTTGTTTCCTAATATGTCCAGCTTAAAAGAAAGGGAAGAAATTGGTAAGAGGCATGGCAAGCTTGTTTTGGAGGCTGTTCATTTAAGAAGAAATCTGAAAATAATGAACTATTCTCTTAGAACATGGAATCTATCTGCTTAGTACCCCTTATTCTTAAAAATTTTTTAAATAAAAATAAAAACCTTTTTTCTTTATCTGTCTTATTTTGATAGATTTCTTATCTTTAAAGCTATTTTGATTTTCTAAAACGCACTTTAAGAAGCAGAACGGAAAGCTAACAGCATTCCAGTCAATTTATCTTCTGGGTTTCATCTCTGTACTTTACCTTAAGTTTACTAGAGTTTATCTCTCTTCAACCTTGAGCTTAAGCATAATAATTCTTACAAAATTTGATAGGGCCTTAATAACCATGAAGATGACACAAGGCGTGCCAGTTCTTATCATTCATTTTCTCAGAGTCCACCTTATGATTATCAGTATGAAGATCGCCGTTATGGAAGACAAGTTGGTGCCCTTTCTAGAAAGCCTGGTTCAGATCGAGGATATTATGTTGGGAGATTTTCTAGTTTTATTGGCAGTCCTGGTTGCTTAAGTGATCAAACATTTGAGGACAGGTTTGCAAATGAGGGTTCAGCTCCTCGGGCTTCAAATTACTCAATATCTAGTGGTGGTGACACTTTCAGACCTGGTACAGAGTCCCCAAGTTTTCAGAAGGACATTGGATTTAGTAGCCCAAGTATTCAGTCCTCAAGAGAAGGTTTAGGTGAAGATGCAAGGCATCAAACTATAGATTTATTTGCTGATCCAATTCCCAAAAGAGATACGCAATTGATTCCCCATATCCAGGTCATATATCTCATACTTCCTTTGAATAGTTACAAGTGCAATTTTCCCAAGTTTTATTTAAAGTTGAAACAATATACCTGCTGGAAAGTAACTTGTTACTTGTTGAGCATTAGGTCTGGTAAAACACCTCACACTTTGGAATTTTCTCTGGTGGGATTTTCCAGTAAAGTTATGTGTAGCATTCAAGAAAAGAAGAGCTTCTTAATTCTTACCATGCAATGAATCATTTAGTCGACTCATCTCAAAAGAATTCCAATCAGGCCTCCTGCTCTCTTATTTTAGTTGATGTAAACTTGTACATGAATCGTTTATGGCTATATGCTCACAAATACATGCAGGATAGGGTACAGATGCCTGTACAACTGTGCATGCACTCATTAAAAGTAATGGTGTTGTTAAACATGTTTTATGATTGGCTTAATTTTAGACTGAGTGCACAATTCAAATTTAAGTGTGCTCTTGTCTCATGAAAGCCCCTCAATACGAGGGCGTGTTTTTGTATTGAAGCTGCATGTGAGAGATGTAAGTAGGTTCAAGTAAATGATATATTTTTTCCTTTGCTTGATCACTATGTTGGTGGGCTTCAGCATATCTGTTCTTAGCACTACTTTTGCTTGTTTAGTGATCTCACCCCTGCTTTTCATTGACTCATTTCAAATTGTTCCCTCATTCAGAGAACTATATCCCCAACAAGCACGGGATCATTTGATAGCAACTCTACATCTTTGGAGTCATATAATACAGGAAATATGGTTGATGTCTCAGAACCTCACCAAACTGCTGGAGTCAATCGGTATACTGCATCTACATTTCCTCGGTCATCCGGTCCTGTGAATTATGGTGGACTGGATCTTTTTAATACACCCGAGTCTTCTGCACCTCCACCTACTGATTTGTTTCTACCAGCAACACCATGGGTTCCATCTGCATCCTCAACAAGCACTGGATCATATGATAGCAACTCTACATCTTTCAAATTGTATAATACAGGTAATGTGGTTGATGTCTCAGAACCTCACCAGACTGCTGGAGCCAATCAGGATACTGCATCTACATTTCCACGTTCATCTGCTTCTGTGAATTATGGTGGACTGGATCTTTTTAATACACCAGAATCTTCTGTGCCTCCACCTACTGATTTGCTTCTACTGGAAACATCATTGGTTCCATCTACAGAAATGTTTCAGCAACCTGCAGATGTAGCAACCAGTTTACATCAACTTCCTCAAAATACTCCATCTGTAGACTTATTTTCTCAGATTGTGGAGCAGTCCCCAACTGCAAACTTGGGTGTTGAATCATCAGAGTTATCTATTCCTAAGAATGAAGGTTGGGCTACATTTGATACCCAGCCTGCAGCATCCAATTCCAACCCGGGAATGGAAATTCATTCCCTTGCAAAAATGCCCAGCAATGGAGATTTTGCAGTAAATTTTGACCAATTTTCATCCTTAAAAACAAGTATGCCGGGGCCACTGTTTGAAGGTTCTGGGGCTGCTTCGTCATTATCTAGTCCATGGCAGGAGGGCTTGCACAATGTTCAAGCTCAAACTGTTGTAACAAGCACTCAGGTAAGCCATCTTAGTTTTAAAGGAAGTGCTTCCTCTCTCTTTTGTTGCAGTTTTTGGAATACTTATAAGCCATAATTCTCTTCATATGATTCTATTGCTAAACTTTGTTTTGAGTGAACACCATTGCTATACTTCAGTGCTGATTATTTATTTATTCCAAAATTTGTGTTCCTTTGACACAACAGGCATTTTAAGGTAGTGGTGTCAATTGTTTTTCAAATATGATAGTTCTCAATTCACAAAACTGTTGTCCTTGGTAAATTTGTCCTTTTGTTTTTAGGTTGGTCAATTAATGCTGTGGACAGGGTTTAATTTGATAAAAGAAATTTCCTCGTTTGACCTTTTTGACAGTGGTTATGGAACATGAATTTAAGAAATTGGACTACAATTTGGGAGTATAGAATGTGATATTGGTTGATATATGGACTGCAGTTTGTCTAATGCATAATTATATGAATCCATTTCTTTTGAACAGGCATGGAATGCTTTTGAAGATTCTGTTGAACACATTTTTCTGGAGGATGCTAGGCAAAAGCAAAGCAATGAAACAGAAGTACTTGCATACAAGCCTTCAGTAACTGCCAATCGCAGTTCAGGCATAGGAGTTTCTGAGGTTACCACGTCAACCTATTAATGCTGCACAAATTTTGCTTCTGTTCTAGTTAGTAGTTATGTTTAAAAATTTGTTTTTTCAGGATTCTAACAATGATGGGATTCAAGGAGCTGCTCACCATCCTGGGACCTTTGCTCCTAACTTACCATTAGACTTTGCCATGGCACCATTTGCTCCTCCATCGATGCTTCCTATTATGGTTTGTACTTCAACACGCATGTGACCTCATTTTGTACATTTCTTCTGCTGGATTCTCATTGCATACTTCCTTATTCCACTCACATCTATGCTTTGAAATTCCTCAAATTTTGCAGGGAGAAAAACAGTTACATGGTTCTGATCATAAATCAACTAATCCATTTGATCATCCTTATGATTCTGACATGGAACCTAGCAACATGGTATATCACACATATGTTGTCTATTAAATATGATCATACTGTGTTATTTCCATGTTTGGGGTCATGTTTATTTGAGTTAAACATATATCCCTACTTTTGTTCTCCAGTTTTGCCATCTCTTTAGTGAACAAACATAGATGGAGAGGAGAGATGATACCATTGGCTCAGAATTCCTTTTAAGGCAAAAGAAACTTTGTAATGGGTATTTCCACTTATTGGTATGCCTGCAGTCATAAATAAGGCTTTGAAGTTGGAAGAATTATCTTCATTGTCTGGGATTATTTAGTAATTTTGATTTTTTGGATTTAGAATATTAGGGTTTTGTTATTGTTGTATTAGTCTTCTTTCTGTCTGGTCCTACATCAATGTTGAGGGAGGACATCAAATATTATACTTCTCTTTAATTAATTCTTTTTTGATGTTGTTTTGCAGTTCTTTGACATGAGTTCTTTACAAGCAGCACTTCCTAATCCTGAGTTATCATCTACCTTTGTTGCTGGTAAGTCTGAACCATGGTTTCCCCAGAATCCCGTGACACCTTTTATTGCAGCAGCAGCACCACAAGGTAAGGGTTGTTTTCTCCCCCCCCATGGGGATTTGTTGTGCTCAGTTTAAAACTATTGTTTTTAGACCATCATGGTTAATTACATGCCTTTTTAAAGCTTCTTATTGGACTAGTAAAAATTTTTCAAGGCCTTTATTATGTCTATTGGCAATGTTTTTGATGGTGAATTACATCCTACATTCATTTATGTGCCTGCAGGTGGCCTAGCATATGTGGCAGGGCAACCACAAAGCTCTCAATTACTGTAAGTTGTTGCTGATGTTGTACTCAATTCCACTAATGTCGTCTTAAATTGTCTCCATCATTATCATGCTGGGCAGCTTATGGTCACTAAGATTTGCAGGATGGGATGAACTTACATATGTTTAGAATAAGGAGCTCTTATGCATGCCTATAATGTTCAATATAATTAATATTTTGAAAAACCAACCATTTGACTGTGGTATTGATTGTTCTATTCGTGTAAATCATGCATGCTGAATTTGAAATTGATCTACCATCTATAACCAATTGATCAAGAAAATCGTATTTTCTAAGAAATATTTAACGGCATAAAATTCTGTGTAATCAATGAAACGGTTAAACATATTCAATCAATATGAAATTTGGCACACATAATATACACAAGTAGTTAATTTAATCCAACAATTGATTGAAAATATTAACTATGTTGGAAATTGCAAGCATGTGGAAGAGTTGTGTAAGTTGTCATCCGTACACACACACACACACACACTTCCCCTTTGAAACCTTCTATTTTTGACTTGTACTTGTGTTTGAGAGATCAGAAAATGAGGGGAATTTGAGATCTCTTCTTCCTACCCAAAGAAGGATAACAAGTGTTAGGCTAAACCTGGGTACTTAGCATTCTCAATTTTTGATACCTTATCCAATTAGATTTTTGCTTGGTGAACATTGTCCAGTCCTGCTCTTTGTCAGATTTAACCATCAATCTCATGTTCCACCCCCTTGTTTGTAATTACAACTCACAACGTGGGGTTAATGATTCAAGAACAAGCCTCTCTGCTAAAGAGGAGTTATATCGTTTGAATAAGAACGCGATTTATGGATGAATAATGCCTCAGTCCATTGGTAAAAAGAGTAGGTTGAAGATTCTGGATGCCTGATGTTCAAATCTGTTTGCAAAAATACATCATGAGTTAGAATAAATTATTCTGCTACATATTTATTCTGCAATGCTTTTCTGAATCAAATTTGCCCTCATACAGGAACATCTCGACACAAGGACCTGTTGCTTCCATTGGAGGAAATCCCTTTGCATAGGATCCTGTTGGCAGAAGTAGCGTTCCCATACTTCAGTCGGTAGTTTTCTAGTGCCAATTGTAGCATTTGAATCCCAAATATTTTGGATCCTTTTGTGAATAACTTTATCAATTTCTGATTGTTTGATGTATTCAATCCAGGTCTAGTGTTTCTTTGTAATTTATTTTAGAATTATTGATGGTTAAGTGCTTAGTGGCAGCAGAACATGGTTCTTCAAATTTAAGTTGCCACTTATGTTCTGCTTGTATCAATGAACCAATGGTATTTTACAATTTTCTTACATCTGCCTAAGTGATCTCTTAATTTAATATATTAAAAATTCAAAAAAAGTGTTATGCAGATTGGATTGCATTGGACTACAATACTTACCATTAGATGGGGATGAGCCTATTGATATTGGAGACTGTTCCATATAATGGTCTTTGTATTGTTGTATGGATAAAGAACCTTTAAAAATTACTAAATTACTAGTATTGTAGGGAGATCTCTTGTTATCAAAATGCTTTAGGTTGCATTAGGGATTAATTAATCTTACAAATATTTTCAAATTGCCTCATACGTTGGCACCAAATAAAGCTTCACCCAAACATATGGATACTTCATACTTGCAAATTGCCCAAGAGCCAAGCATGAGTAATTTTATGGATACTTGTAAATTGTTCCGTCTTCACATTGGATAAAGGTCCACTTTTAAGGATAACAAGCTTGATCTTTTAGAGGTGTTTATACCCAAATAACAATAGAAGGATTCAAATTTAAATTTACATTCTGAGCATAGTCCTTAACATATCCTTACCACCTAAGCCAACCTCAGTGGGTTAGAAATTTCATGAGTTCTAAATTAGAGATTTTTTTATTTGTTTAAGATGACATAGACATTCAAGTCTTTGGTTTAACTAATTCCATGAATCTTTGCAAAACTATTATGTCCACAAGTACTGTCTAAATTAGAGATTTTAGGTTTGGAATGATAGAGACATACCAAGACATTTTTTGTTCGTTTCTTGTTAAAGCAACACAAAGATAGAGGAAGATAACTCATACAAAAAAAGCCAAGAAACTAGAGTGCTTCAAAATTCTGGAGAACATAAACTTGAACCGAAGATAGTGAAGAGTACTGGTACAACATTCTAACTTGCAGCACATGGCTGGTAGACAAACTTCTTTCAAGACAAGAATCACATCCTTGCATCAGACTTTTTTTGATAACATCCAAGCCCAAAGAAATTAGCAGCACTGGAAAAATCTTCAGACAACATCAACCTTCCAAGCTCAACAGTTTCCTTCATTTTCAGAGGTACCCTGTCATCATCTCCTTCAAAGAAACTTGGAGCTTGGCATCTAAGAGTTCCATTGTTCATCTTTCGTGCCATTTCTTATGTCAATTACAGTGGCTACTAATGGTAATTTGAATTATTTTAAAAATCCAGCTGATCAAGGCTCATGCTGTATTCTGTTCAATCAGGAATATCTAAGCAAGGCTGATCTTTATTCAAACCATTAACTATATTACTGAATGATAAAGAGAAAAAGTGGTTCTCACAAAAAAAGTACTAATCAGTAATTACTAGTTCAGTATTGAAATTTTAAGTAATGCATGATCAACACCGAAGAGATCCTGGCTCAAACACCAAAAGGCATATAAACAACAGGCGCCGGAAAAAGAAGGATCAGAGGCTCATCTTGCCAACTCGAGCAGGATCTAACTCATATTTACGCAGATTCCAGAACGCAAGGGTCGACAAAAAATACATGTCTCAAATTTTACATGCAAAGATAAAGCGGGTTTGCTTCAGCATTAAAATAAGGGAACTTAACCATGCATGGCTAATGAGTAAAACAAACCAAATAATCCTTATCTGCCTTGTTTTTGGGAACCACAAAATTAAAAAACCTAAACAAAGTCAAGAGAAGAAGATATCACTAAAAATTGTCATTATTTTCTGCGTGGTGACATGAGGAAACAACAGCATGAGCTTATTATTATATGAATAACAAGCAGATACAAAGACAAGACAAAAAGATTAGAGCAAATATATTCTGTCTCTTCCTATATCCAAGCATGCTTCTCACCATTAAGCATAGTCCAAAAGATATGTTTTTAATTCTTTTATTTCTCCAAAGATAAGAACATAATGAACTAGTTTAGCAGAATATTATGTTCATCATACAATTAAATGATTCTATGAAATGCCTTAGCTGGTCACTTCATATCAGCTTATTACTCAAGTAGTCAGGATTGTCATTGCAATCTTCATTGCAAGGCTGAATAGAATACCAAGACAAAATGAAGATGTAGGGAATAAAAGAAAACGGCCTGATATTCTTACAGAATTACGTAAGCAATTCAAACCACTATAAGTATAAACAACTACCAGTTCGCATCTTTGGACAGGATTAGTTCATTTTCAAGACCTAAAAGTCAGCCTGAAATACTCAAATAAAAAGCTTCTTTCAAAAGATGTTGCTTCTTCAAGTAGTTGCCTGTGCTTTCCACCACAGGTCTAGGGTCTAGGGTTCAATTTTAATCCCTAGTCTTTACATACCGAAAAGCAAAAAAAAAAGGAAAAACAAAAAGAAGGAACATAAAGGAAAACAATGGAGTAGTACTTTCAAATTCTATGAATTACCAAATGAAGTTACATTCAATGAATAACTAGACTGTCTTGAAGAAGCCGCCCTATTAAATCCAAACTTGAACCAAAGAAAAATTACAATAGTACGAAGTTGCAGGTTGCTGAAAGGCTGTCCACTACATATACAAAAATCATGTCCACAGAAACATCGGTATTTTCCTAATATTTTCTCAAGCAGAGAAAGCATTTCTTCTTCTTCTCCTTCTTCTCATCTCCCACAAAAAATGGAGGACTAGAACATTACCAGATTTGTTGCCATTCCAACAACAAAAGGTTCCATTAACAATCGAGTCAAGAAATAGAAAAGCACACCCAATGCAATAGATATAGGAAGGGCAGGCAGAGCTCGGCGGCAAACAGCCAACAAAATAAGAGTACAGCCAAGTCCAGAGATGATGGCAAGGTAACAAGCATATACAGTCATTAGATCATACATTGCTGCCCTACCTACCAAAACACTGTAGAAGACAAAGTCTCCAAGGCCAAGCTTGATGCCTTTACTTGCTACCACTGAATCCTCTGTGCCATCCCTTCTCGATTGCTCTCTCCTGCTCTCCATTCCCAACATTTCAACAAGAGGAGACATTTCTTCATCGACAACAATTTCAGACTCCATATTGCCAACCACTGTAGAAAACTCTGATGAGCTGCTACTTGATAAATGTCTCTCCCTCAAATTGGTAACCAAGGGGGACCTCTCCCCTGCATCTCTAGTACCTTCACCTTCTGCATTGCCAAAATTCCTAACACAAACAGCAGTATACTCAGAATTCTGGCCATTTACAGTCATATCTTGATGAGCATTATCATTTGATACTGCCTGCATCTCCACTGACCTAGAATCAGAAGCTCCAGCAACCAAAAGCCTCAAACTCGATCTTTGATTTCCTTCACCTTGTGAAACCGTTGGCCGAGCTTCATATACCAAAGCTGGGAGCTCCTCATCCCTGCTTGAGGCTAACTCCACCAACAACTTAAGTGGTCCACCAGGTGCCAAAACTGCCACCAAATCATATAAAGCCAATGCCACCAGCAAAACCCACGTAGTCCATTCCGGCAATTTTGTAAACCAAGCTGCCACAATAATTCCCAATAACACCATATACCCTTGTCTTATGATAATTGGTATCCCAGTGGAAAACATTGATAATACACCGACAATAGTAAAATTAAACAGCAGGAGGAAGCAGGTGATTGAATCAACAGGTATGGAATAATGCTGGATGATTGACAAAAAGATTGAACCACCCATGGTACCTAACACCAAGAGAAACATACACCACATGAGTAAAATCTAAAGGCATGCCAAAACATCCAGTGACTGAGCTTATGAATCAAACATCACTGGCACTAAAATCAATCCACAACATTCAACATTTAATTGAAATAGTAGGCATCAACAGTTGCTGTACTGTTGACAACAAAACCCAGAAGAATACAACTGAAAGTGTACCAGTAACCCTAAACATCAAATTGACTAATCGAGGCAATGGAAGCTATCATTTACAGATCATCTAAAAATCAACAAAACACCTGAATCAAAGTTAAGTGTAATGCAACATCAATGGATACCACACTGTGGGAGCAAATGCAGTCAAGTTAATAGTCCTAGCAGGCCACCATCATATGCACAAGATCACAGCAGCTATTGAGTTGAGCAGATGAAAATCCATAAAAACCCAGAAATGTCTATAAAAAAAAAAATTCTGCAAGCCTAAACAACATCATCGAGCTAATTTGCATCAAGAAACGGTCAATCAATCATCCTACCCAACACAAAGAAAGCAGAGAAGCGCATATAGTTCTTCAAGAAGTTGGTGCAGTTGTAGTAATACAAGACCACCAGCAGGAACGTGACGACTGCAATGAGTATGATGAAGACCACGGCATTAAGCAGGGCCCCCTCGAGCTTCTGGGTTGCAGTGTCGGAGGGGCTCTCAAGGTAGACGAGATTGGCTGCGGTGCGGATGGGAGCGGAATTGGAAGAGAAGGGGTTGTTGGGGGTGAGAGCATAGACGAGAAGGACCACCAGGAGCATGCAGATGGAGACCGGAGACATCACGCCTATGATCTCTTGCCCTATTGATTCCAGGATGCTAGACTCCATTTTGAGTGAGGGATTCCGTCGAGCAGGTGGTGGGTATTTCCGGGACTATGACATTTTCTGTAATTGAAACGGAGAAGGGGGAATTGGGAGATTGGAGTCAATGGAGCTGAAGCTTCTGCGCCTTATGCTTTGCTTTTGGCTGGAGGCATGGTCGTTCTAATTAAGAAAGAGGAAAGGGAAATAGAAAAGATTCCGCTATTTTGCTGTGCTAACGGTGGTAGACGGTAAAATAGCACTCTAGATGGGAAGGCCACAAGTATCACTTTTTTTTTTTTCTTTTTTGAAACGGAGGCCCCAGTATGACTTTAGAACCCAATGATCAACATTTTACAATTTGATTAAGTTTTTACTATAAAATAATTATTTTTAATAAAAAATACTAAGAACAACAAAAAAGAGTTGCTTTTGATATAAGAAAAGAATAAATGGATATTTGTTAAAAAAGAAAAGAAAAGAAAAGAAAAGAAAAGAAATAATTTTTGGGATAATACTAAAAAAGTGAAAGATGATATGAAATCAATTCATCCTAAATCTTTTACTTTTTAGAGCTTTTACCTCACTTTCTTATACATTCACATACTTAATATAATAACGATTAATTCTCTTATATATATACATACACATATCTAATGATGATTTATTCTTATTTAGTGGTGATTAACTCTTGTATTGTAACTCCCAACTCCCAACACTCTATTACTAGTTTATTATCATATGAGAAAGATATGAAAAAAAGAAAAAGAGTAAAACTCTATTATATCTTTGTCTTCCTTTGTGTCTCTATTTCAACCTTTTTATTCTTCTTGTTTTTCTTTATTTTACAACATACAAATCTAATTTATCAATTTTTACTAACAACAATGCTTCGTGTAATATTGTTCTTCTTTTTTTTTTTGGTTTTTATTTTGATCAAATAGATGAAGAGTATTATATCAATATAAGAGCAAACATAAACAAGAAATTGTATGTAGCTAAAACAGCAAAGCTAACCTAAAGCACTAATTTTAGATGAATTTGTGTCCATAAAAGATATTGGAAAATGATGTGTGCACACCTAGGTTCAACACCCGGGTGTGCACACTCTCCATTGAAAAAAAACAAAAACCCATCACCACCCGGGCCAATTCTTTTTTTATGTGGGGGTGCACACCCGGGTGTTGGATCCGGGTGTGCACCAATCAAGGTCCAAAGATATTACATTTAAGGTAAAAAAGACCTCTTGCAACTAGAATTAGTGTAAAAGACATTAACAAAGCTACTATTGTAAGAATGTCACCTCTTTGAGCAACATAAGCTTCTAGGCCACCCCATATGTCATGTTAGCTTCTGAGGGAGAGTAAAAACTATGGAACTATTGTCCCATCCTACAGAAGGCCCATAGCTACTCATTTTGTCAAGAGGGGAGCTACTGCCCTTATATTGAATAGCTAGGTAATACAACTATTTTCAACAAACACTTTGGATACTCTTGCCTTTTCCATCTTCTCTACACCTCCTTTACGATTACCGTTGTTGTCTTGCTTCTTATTAGGTGAGTTAGGCTTATTAGGTGAGTTAGGAAGACTTCTCCCTAACCTATGCCACTTCCCCTTGTTAGTGCTTGTCATCTTGTCCTTGTTGATGGCTTTCTCTACCTTATCCTGGAATTTCCTCAAGGGGATTTCTAGCAAATTAACATTAGAATCAAAATAATCACTTGAATGCTCCTTACCCATCTCATCATCCACAAGTTCCTTTATGTGGTGATGCATCTGTTGGTTTCCCTCCCATAAAAAATTCCTTGGACAAAGCGGGAATTTTTGTTGCTTAGGGACCATCCTCATTAGCATGGGGAGATAGGTTTTTCTAGGTAGTAGAACTCAATTCATCAATCATCAATCATCAATAAGCTCAAGAACTCCTTAGATTTTACCCTTAACCAAATTCCAAACCCTCGTTTAACTATCTCACCCTTCTTCTTTAATTGATAAGCCACCTCATAGTCCGCTTCAATGTAGTTTATTTGCCCGCTAACATAGCAGAAGTCAAGAAGCCTCTTATACTTGATGTAATGTTTCTTGATATCTATCTTAGATGTTTTAGCTATGTTGAATTGGCATAAGGGCTTTTTCACCTCAAAGCACACTTAAATCCTTAAAGATTTTTTGTCGCCCTTATCAACCTCTAAAACTCTACTAAGACTAGTCCCTAACTTAAATCTAGCCTTTTTGCTTTGTATTCCCATTGTGAGATCATGTAGATGTAGTGAAAAAATGTTCATCAAGAAATTATATTACTCAAGGGATAGTGTGCAATGAAAACACCTTAGGATGATCAAGGAGTTGCTAAAGTTTCATGGCACCTTTATAAGACTTCTTTGAGAACAAAGTTTTTAGCAAACTACAAGAGATAGAGTTTATCTCCAATTTTATTAACCTTCAATTTGTTGCAAGGTTTCCAAGACAAAATTATAGTATTTTGCAAACTTGTAATATTGATTCATTTTCAAGAAAGGATTTTGCTTGTTAAGCACATGCGAGGCATATTAAGCCTCCCTTTACTCTAAACAAATGCATTTGACTGAAAATAGATCCCATATCATTATCCCCTATTTTGACCATCTCCAATCCCCTTGCATCACTACCACCAAGCCATGCCCTAGATGCAAATCCTTAATCACCGCACCATATTTGCATCCCTAAAGACTACTACTATTTTACCTTTTGTTAGCACCACATGCCCTAGGTTAGAGTGTGTTGAATTGATAGAGAGATTGGAGCATGTCAATATAGGTGAGGAGTCTTGGGGAAGGAACGCATTATCACCCATTGGGAAACCCTAGCAGAGCAACCCTAGGAGCACAAGAGCTTGGAGTGTTTATGCCTTATGTAATATTATTAATTCTAATACATACTTAAACATGTCATGGCGTAGGCAGTGAAACCACTATCCTTATAAATCAATAATCAGAGTTGAAAATGAAAAAAAAAAAAACAAAAAAACAAAAGGGTTTTTGGTTTGATTTAATTACTTGGGCTTAGCATAACCATTGGGCTTTAAGGGTTTAGATTTTTAAAGGATTGGGCTTTAAAGATGCTAATGTTAGGTACTTCTTAAGTATTTAGTAATCTCAACTTTTTAATTAATTATTTATCAAACAATTAAAGATTTAAAGATTTAAAGATATAAGAAAAAGTTGGCTTTGACCCAGCTAATTTTGCCACTTCATAATGAAAGAAAACAGTCTTTGTAGTGAAAACCTATATAGGATAGGAGTTTTGGAGGAACGAACCCATTATCACTCATTGGAAACCCTAATTAGGGATGGCAATTTCAATCCTTGCAAGCACACCATGGGGGCAAGGTGAGGAGGAATATTCCTCCTAGTAAGGTGGGGATGGGGAGTGTTTTTCTCCCATATATTTACGCAAGGAATTTTCCTCGCTCTGTGAGGCATTGCGAGGATCCGCATCCCAGTGAAAAATTAAAAAATAAATTAATTTTATTTTAAATTTAATTTAACCTAATATATCAATATATTTCAAACCTAACTCAATAAATATTAAATTTAATCCAATTTTACACAACCTAATCCAAGCCAACCCTACCCAACCCAATTAAATTTACTGTTGTACAAGGAATAAGTCTATTGATTTAGTTATTTATGTTGGATTGATCTTTATTTATATTTGAACAATTTATATTTGATTTTGTATTTAGAGAATTTTAATTAATTGTGCTTGAACTTTTAAAATTTTATTCATTATTAATTGATTATAGGTAAAAAAAATCATATTTTAAAATAGAATGGTAGGAATGAGGATCCCTATGGGGAACCCCATTCCCTATGGAACCGGTGATGGGGGGCAAAATCTACCTCCCATAAAAAATTCCCATGGTAAGGATGGGGATGGGGATGGGGAGGGATTACTTGATCCCATTGGCCTCGTTGCCATCCCTAACCCTAATAGAGCAACCCTAGGTATGTGAAAATTTGGAGTGTTTTATGCCTCATGCAATATTGTTCATTATGATAAATATTTAAAAATGTCATGTTGCCATCCCTAACCCTAATAGAGCAACCCTAGGTATGTGAAAACTTGGAGTGTTTTATGCCTCATGCAATATTGTTCACCATGATAAATATTAAAAATGTCATGGTGTAGGTAATGAAACTACCATCCTTATAAATTAATAACGAGTGGAAGATGAAAAAAATCATAAAATTAAGGAAAATTATGCAAATAAACTCAACAACTCCATTTAGGTTAATGATCACCCCCTCAACTTTTTCCACTAGCAAAAAATCCCCTCTAATTGTTTTTCTAGTCAAATTGGCCCTCATTTTACATTATGTCATCAATCCGTCGTATGTTCATTTGGTGTTCTTGATTGTTACCACCTCTATCTGCTGTGCTAGTCTTTTTCCTAACTTGAACTTTTCTCCCCCCTTTTTTTTGTTTTTTCTTTTCCCTTCTCATCTTCTCAAGTGACTTTAGAATCGTGTTTTTCATTTTTCTCCTTTTCCCTTTGTTGAAGGATAGATAGCTCCAACTTACTCCTTCAATCAATCTTAAAACTCCACAAAATTGCCTTTTAGACCAACAATTTGTAAGCATAATTTTAACTTCCAATATTCTATAGTTAGAGGATGTGCATAATTTCTTAATCCCAATGAAATAAGGGTTAATTTGTCCAAATAGCACTAGGAGGTTATTTGTTTTGCAGGTGAAGAAGATTAAGGATTAATTATTAACCAGAAGTGGAGTAAAGAGGGCTGATTTACATAATTTACCAAAAATTAGGGTATTTAGCCATATAATTACTTCATATGTAACTAGTGGACTTTAAAGATTCTAATGTTAGGTAGTATTTTGTTGAATATTTAAATAATAACATATTATTTTAGATGGTAAAATAAAACTTATTGAAGGCTTCAGTATAAGAGTCATCCCATATGGCCATATCTAACATTATATTTGGTTCAAGATAAATAGAAAGGAAATAAATATTTTTTAATTAATTAAATTATAATATTTACAAATATTATAAATTTAATTAATTAAAAAAGACTGCCCTCGCTGATCCTCCTCCTATTTCTCTCAACTTGAACTTAAACATACGGTAAGATGATTATATTTTGTCTGATATCGTTCTAATTACAATCCATAATTTCAATTTTTTAGTTGCATATTTATCTAAAGATTAAAGATTTAAAATTTAGGAAGAAATCGGCTCCTGCAACGAAGTCCACAGAAAATGTCTGCGAATGAAATCCCTGACGAACTTTGGAGGAACATTCTGGAAATCGGGACTAAGAACTCCGTCCTCACCCACAAAGACCTCTGCTGCCTCTCCATCTCCTGCAGGCGCCTTCGTCGCTTATCCGGCGAGAACTCCCTCTGGTCTCACTTGCTCTCCTCTGATTTCCCCAATCCAATCTCGCAACCTTCATCATCGTCGGCATCAGCTAAATCGCTCTACAAAACCAGGTACTCGCGATAGAATCCTTTATGAGTTAATTTTTCTTCTTTCATTTTCTTTTTTTTTTATTTTTTTTTTCTTTTTTGGGGTTAGGTTTGAGAGAGAAAGGAAGCAGAAGTTATTGGCGCACAGAAGGACAGTGTTGAGGAAGCAGAGCCAAATCGCGGAGCATTCAAGGAAGCTTCGAGAAATTGAGGCTCGTGGGAGAGAAGAGAGGGAAAAATTGAAATCTACGGTTGCCGAATTGTTGAATTTACATAAGGTCAGGTAATCTAGATTGTTCCTTTTCTATTTAATTTTGGTTTTAATTTGATATATAGGGTTTAGAAGTTTACTTGGTGGAGCTTGAGATTGTTTTATTTGAATTTGCATTTCAATTTTTTAAAAGAATTCCAATTCAATGCAAGAGAATAACTATCAATTCCACCCCTTTTTCAATATTAAATTGCATTACTGATTGAACGAGATAAGAGAGTTAAAATTACTAATGGAATGGTATTGCTTTGCGGGGAGCATCAAATTGTACCCCTTTCATTATTACTACAATGTTTATGGTAATTTCATTGTTTTCTATGCTCTAGATAAGCTTTGATTTGTTAGTTCTCATGGATGGGATCTTTGGTTAAATTGCTTTAGGCAAGCTTCAGTAGCTTTGAATGTGTGGCAGCCAGATATTGTTCGTGGCAGGCAAAAGCAAATAGTGGAACAGTGTGCTGTTCCAGTTGAATCTCGAGTTCATGCACTTGAAATGGAAGTTAAACTCTGCAAGAAACAAATTGCTGTTCTTGATAAGGCATATGTTAGTATCAATTATCAACAGTGTACTGATGAGTTGAATAAATACACTTGGTAAAAGGAATGTTTATATTTTTTTTGTCATTTTCATGGCAGAGAGATGAAAGACAAAGGCTTGATACTGCAAATGAAGAGTTGGGATCCGTGATGTATCATCCTTTACGAGAATATAAGCTGAGAAGTGGTGAGGACAATGAGAATAAGGCAAAGAAGAGGAAGTTGAAAACTTCTATGAATTGTAAGAATATCTCTTCTTGTGCTTCCTACATTTCATTAATCATAAGCATTCAACAGTTATCAGAGAAATGAAGAAAGAAGATAAGATTCTGGTTGTGTCTAGCATGTATACTTTGGCAGTTTTTCTTTGTTTTGTTGTAAATTATCGATTCTAGTGGGCATTCTATATTTCCTAAATTTTATTGCCTTCTGTTTTGTTAGCCGCATTTGGTGGATTCCCTTTTTCTCCTTGTTTGTTCCTGTTGGTTTCATTTTGGCATAATGGATGGAAGAAACTTTCATGCACTATGTTCTCTGTGTCAGGAAAAAGTATATACCATCATTTCCTTATAACAGTGAACCCCGATAAAATATTAACTATGGATTGTGAGGCTGTTTTATGATTCTCCAAAAAACTTTCTTTCCTTTATGTTGTCATTTCTACTTTAAGTTACTGAATCACTAAATAATTCCCGACCTTTCCTGCAATAAATATGACAAAGGTTAATCAGGCATAATTTTGAAAATTTATTGTATCCTCAACCCAACTAATTTTGCAATCCCTTTCTAATATAATTCTCAACTTAAACCAGACTGCTGTAGCTCACCATTGCTAGTGTTAACTTTTTGGCAAGCAAAACAGGCAAAGAATGTTTGTCATACTGATAATAGTGAGCTGTCTGCCTCACTAAGAAATAGATTAGCATGATTAAACACATTTAGGACATTGGTGCAGAATCCTAAATCTACCCCTAGCGTAGCAGAGTCTGACATGATACCTGCAGAAGGGTGTTAAATTCTAAGTTTTGGTCATCTGAATTTCCTTCTAATTTGGGGTTTGATGATCTCCTGATATCTGTCATTATTTAGTATCATAGATGAATGTTTCTTTGTGCTTGTGTCTTCTTTAATGCAATTTTGGCTCTGCTTTTGATGCTTTATTCATTATACCATGTGTGGTTCTATAATTTTTCATTTTATCATCTGCATTTGTTTTGGAAACTGCAAGTTTACGCTTTCAGAACTATGATCTGCATCCTTTCTCTAGTTCTGGGCTTAAAATTTATGCCAAAATTTGCCTGTTAATTGTCTTACAGTTCCTGCTAATCAAGGCAAAACAACATAATTTTGCGGTTTAGCTGGATTGACTTGCTGGTCTTGCCAGTTTCAATCTCTTGTTGTGCACCATTAAAGTTGGAGATGCCAGTCACTCTAAATTTAGGTATTTTGAAGCTTAGAGCGACAGAATGGTCAGTCTGTGGCTCTAGTACAACAATTTTCATGAGTGGAAGGTGATCTTGACAGGTTGTTCCAAAAATCAATGTAGAATCTGGTGTTTTAGTTTATAATCTTTTCATTATGTATCAAACTTGAAATAAACAATCAAAAGCACCTGAGATCCTTGTACTATAGTAGCCCTTTTTACTACCAATGGTATCTGCCAGAGCCATGTTTCTGTATCAACTCTGTTGTTGAAAATTGTTCAGAAATTTTATTCCTTGTAGATTTGTGTAATGCTTGGAGCATGTTATTGGAAAGTCGGTAATTACAATTAAGCCTATAATAACGTAAATGCTTTGTGCAGTCTATTATACAGAACTAACCATTGGATTGGGAATAGGCCCCTTGAATGTGGGCTTCTCTCCAATTCATTTATTCCTTTTTTAACAGTTGAATGCATTTTGGACTGCAAAAGGCGGACTCCTGTAATAATTATAATTGTCGTTGTGAATTTTTGTCATAAAAGGTGTTTCTGAAAGAAATTCTTATTAGCTACTGTGATGATCGAAGGAGTTTTATTTATGAAGAAAAATAAATAAAGTATTTAGAATTAGTTTGTGAACTAAATTAAGTCTTTGATAATTTATTTATTATTTTAGGAAAATGATCGTATAACAATTAAATTAATCTTATAAAGTATAAACCATAAAGCACAACCTAGTCTGAAAAATGAACAACTAGTCTCTAGGGTGTTAGGTATATTGCCATAGCACAATTGATACCATACCAGTTTACATCCAAGTAATAAATCTTAGCTTGAAGTCATCACTTCCTAGGCATTTCTTGTAGACATAATCATGAATCATCTTTAACATTCGTTCAAAGTATTAAAGATTGAGAAGCTCTTTTTAACACCCCAATCTCCGAAGATTCCAAATAAAACTTACGAATCACGGTTATAAAAACTATAAATTGAAATAAAACTCCATCCATCAAATCATAAAACGAAATAAACCCCACCATTAAAGAGATGACATTGCACTAAGAGCAATACTAAATCCCACTTGTATAGCTATAAAGCCACACCATAGAGTGACATAAACTCTCACTACTAGTGGGACAAAACTGCACCAAAAGTGGACACAAACTCTCACAAATGGAGAGATGAAGTAGCACGTATGAAAAAATTAACAAGAAAAAAGTAAGAAACCCCACTACAAGATGGACCAAGCCATCCAATAGCAAGAAGGGTTTTTTTCCTTAGGGAACGGTTAGGATACATCTATAAATTCTTTAAGGCCATGAGTCTTTGATAATTTTTGATAATACGACACCTCCATTTGCGTCATTAATATAATTGGAATTGAATTAAGTAAATACTCGCTAAGCTTTCTTCTGGAAAAAACTTATGATCTAAAGCTTCTGTTTAGGCTTCAATTACACAAGCAGGCCATTAAAGCAAACGGAAAATGCGTAAGGGAATCGACCCTTTCCAGGCCGACGGAAGCCCGATCCTACGTGGGTCTATGGTACGTTATTCACAATTATAATTTTATAGTATATTTGGATTGAAGAGAAGGGAAGAGAAAAGATTTTTTATTTAGTTATTAAAATAATAAAAGGAGAAAGGAAGATAAAGAAGTTTTTTGTTTTATTTTTTAATTTGTTTTTTTATCTAAATAAGGGAAAAAAAATAAAAGATTAAAATTTTCCTCCTGTCTTATTTTTTTATTTTTTTCGACCCAAATATATTGTTAACTTACGTTAAATTCTTTTTATTTTTTTGACCTGCAAATGGTTGATTTTTTTTTTTATAATTTTTTAAAGACTTAACTAATAAACACTTTATTTTTATATTTTATATGTTTTTAAGATAATAAAAAATTAAAAAAAAATCTATAATTACAACATAATACAACATTAACAAGCCAAGCAAGAGTTGAAAATTATTATCCAGCTATTCGTATCCCATCTAAAACAGAAAAAGAAATTGTAATAACTAATAACTGGGACAAATCATTAATTAGAAGTAGAATGAGTTGGTAACAACTACATGTGAAATCGGGTGGGGGGTGGGGGGAATATATGAAACCGGGTAGTACAAAACCGTGTAACATATAATGCAAATTATATACATACTACTATTAAATTGTGCCGTTGGAAATATATTGAATTATATAATATAAATTATTAATTTTTTAATATAAAATATTATTTTTCTATTTAATAGTTTTTATTTTATAATTTGAGATAGAGTGAATTGTAAAATAAAAATCTTATTACATGAATTTCATCTGCCAATGTTTTGCACATATTTTTTCACATAATATCTTATCTAAAGTTTTTAATTTTTAATTATTTTAATTAATTTTTTTATTAATTTTAATTAATATTTTATATATTTTTAAAATAATAATAAAAATTTACATTTTACAACACAGCACAGCAGAACGTAACAATGACAAACAAAGCTTGCATAAATGAATAATTATATTAGGAGGTTGAACGGACGTGGCAGCACCTAGCCCGTTCACCCCTTTTTTGTTTGTTATGGTTAAATGTGAAGAATTAGTAGTCCCTTGACTCAACAATTTAAAATTTACTTTGGTTTCCCAACTTTTTTTAACTACTTTTTTTGGTTTTCAGACTCTGTTTGGAATTCAGTTCACAATTTACAGTTTTTGGATTTAGATTTTTTATGGTTTAGTGTTTGAGTTAATAGAGTTTAGATTTTCTAAGGATTAAGATTTAGGGTATTAATTGGTGTTTAGATTTTAAGATTTAGGGTATTAGAGTTTATATTTTTAAAATTTAGTAATTTATATTATAAGTCTTAGGGTTTAATATTCAAAGTTTGAGATGTAGTAATCTAAAAATTAAAAATCATGGGATTTAAAAATAAAAATAAAAATTTGTTGGAAGTAATAGAAAAAATAAAAACAAAAGAAATTAGTGACTAGTCAATCTTAGGTTTTGTTTGAGAATATTTTTTTGGTGCTCTGACTTTTAGTTTTTTTTGTTATTTGTTACTATTTAAAAAATGTAAAATATATTTTTTTATATTTTAAGGATATTAAGAGACCAAAAACCTATACATATAGTTCCTCAAATGAAGCTTTAGACTAATAAGTTATTTTCCCTAAGTGATTAGTAAGTATTACTAATTTTGAAAATTTTTTGACATAAACTACTAATCATTATATAATTCTATAAGGTGTGTTTATTTTAGGGTTTAAAAAAGAGTTATTAGGCGTTAGTTATAATTAAATAAATTAAATAGTTTAAATTATATATAGTAGAGATTTATTTATACATAAATTTTACACATCATATTTATATAAAATTTTAATTATTCATTTCTTTATTTTTAATGATGTATAACAATAACGACTATCAACTATTACCTATCAACCATTGGTTATCAATTATCACTTATTAGCTATATTTAAATAGTTAATTCGAACACTACCATAAAGTACACATTTAACTAATTAAACATAGTACACATATTATGAAAAACCAAGAAAAAAAAACCCATATATAAGGAAGCTCGAACCAACAAAAATATTAGATATTTATATTGCATCAAATTTACTATATATGTATATTTAGTCAAGATAAACTTATATTAGTGTAACTTATATCATTATTTACATTAGTTAATAATTTTTTTGTACAATTAGTATTTTTTAAATTAACTGTTGAATTTAATATTTTATTTATATAGATCATATATGTTAAATTCAAATTAATTAGAGATGTTTAATTACTAATATTTACACTTTATTTTAAACCATTAAATAAATAATTAAAAAAAAAACAAAATTTTTCATTGGTATAATTACAAAAACCAAATCACCTTAAAATTTGATATGTATAATTTAAATAATAAAATGTTAAATCAAATAATTTTTTTTTATCTTAATTGCACAGTAGAAGGCAATTATCTCCCATCCCTTATCCCACCAATTCCCATGCCATGTGACTTGAATTACTTTTTACTTTTAGCGAAAGGAGATGATCACTAAATTACTTTATCCGTTAATTAAATCCAACAATTAGTTAGCAAAATATAAATTGTACAAAACATTAGTCACTAAATTAAAATACACTCATGTAAGTTTTTTTTTTGGATAAACACTAATGTAAGTTAATTCTTACTCACGTACATAAATAAATACATGAATAAGCCAAATAATAGGGTAGTTGCTTTTATTTGGTTATAGTAACTCCATTTCCATCTGTATTCTTGCCAAATTCCGCGTTAGTGTGATTGCACTTTCTCTGTCCACCGCAACTCAAAATTAACTTCACTTAAATATGACCTCAATAGTTATGGGGAGCACGGTTTGGTTTTGATGCAAATGAAATTGAAATATTAGTTTACTAAATTTTTAGTTATTAATTTTTAATAACTATAAATCAAATCAAATTTTCAGGTTTTTTTTTTTTGTTAGATTAATTTTTTAAAGATAACCATTTAAGTCAATTTTGGTTTAAACCAAAAAAATAAATTTAGTCAATATTTGGAGTGGGAATGGGTGTGAACAGGAGGGTAGGGCCTAAAAAAATTTCATAAAGCTTGCTATAAATTTAAAAATAATATTCAAAAAAGAGCAAAAAAATTGAAAATTGGCGGGAAGGCCTAAAAATCATTAAATTCAAAAAAAAAAAAAAAAGTTCGAAAATTTTGCTTATACTCGACCCAGTATTAGGTTTTGGTTTTTAGATCCCATAACCAAAATCCACCCATTGATCGAGATTCAATTATAACCAAAATCCCGCAATAAAAAAAAAGGGTTAAATCTTCAATTTGGTCTCTAAACTATTGTACAAAACCCTAATTTGATCCTTGAATTAAAAAAATCTGTGATTTGGTTCTTAAACTATTGTAAAAACCCTCAATTTGATCATACTGTTTATCAATTTGCTCCAAATTGATCTTTTTATATAAAAAACAACTGACGTATCTTGTTATTAATGTAACACGTGATCGTTAAATAACTATTTTTTATCGTTAAATAACGAAGTCATCAGTTGTTTTTTGTATGAAAGGATCAATTTGGGACAAATTGATAAATCATAGAGACCAAATCAGGGGTCCGTACAATAGTTCAGGAATCAAATCAGAGATTTTTTTAATTTATAGACCAAATCATGGATTTTTTTAATTTGAGGACCAAACCAAAAGTCCGTACAATAGTTCAAGGATCAAATTGAGAGATTAACCTAAAAAAAAAATTCAAAACCCAATCAAACTTAATTCACTGGTCATAACGTTGGTTGGTTTTGGATTTTTTCCGGTTGCGAAATTTTCCAACTACAGTATTTGGTAAATAAAGCCTAAAACCGAATGATTGTTAGTTGCCGGAGGAAAGTTATAACTTGCCAGGGATTTATCAGAAGTTTGTACGCACTGAATCCTAACTTGCCAGAAATTCATCAGTAAGTAGTTTCAAAAAGTTCGAAAGAATATAGTTGGTGTGACTATTATAGCTATTGTTATAATATTTTTTGGTGCAGTATCTATATAGTTGATGACTTTAAATCCATAGTTAATTAATTTGGAAGGCACTAGCAAGTTTGGAAGGAGCTAAAAATCTGAAACGTGAGGAACTTCTAATTTTACTGACTTGTTCAGAGGGTTTCCTGAATTCATTTAAGTTGAAATTATTAGATCGAGTTTGGTCCAATAAAGAAAAAAAAGAGACAAGGAATAAGGACACTGATTGATAAATCATTCAGTTTAACATATTAAATAAGATATTTATTAAAAAATTATTATTTTTTAATTTTAAATTAAAATCAAATAAATTTAAAGGTTTAATCATATATACAATATATAAAAATTTACTGACTTAATTATGTTTATATTTTATATATTTTAATAATTAAATCAGAAAGGTGCTTTGGATTGAAGAGTGTGTTAATCTTTTTTTTTTCCCTTTAAAAATTGAAAGAGTAAAAAAAAATTAAGGATTGAATTGCATACGTAAGGAGTAATGTTTTTCGCTCAAAAGTTACAACCCAACTTGGTGCTTAAAAACTGCAACTCATGAATGAGGGCTGAAAATAATTGCAGCTGTCTAGGAAACCTACACCAAATGCCAATTTAAAATTATGTTTCAATTTTAAAACGTAGAAGAAAGGAAAAATAAAGGAATTTAGGGAAAATGAGATGGGAAGCTCTCATCTTAAACTCTCTTGCTCCTCCAAACACCAATTTGTAAAAAACTTTTATGCATTCAGCATTACCCTTTAAATAGAGTAAAAACTAATTCACTGAGTGCAAATTCATTCTCTATATTAAATTATAATAATAAATGAAAAATTAGAAAAAAATTGAAAAACTGCATATAAAGCAAGACTCAAACCTAGAAGGCTACAACTTCATTGTTATGAGATTTCAACCTTTCCACTACTTTAAAGCCTCATTGGCCTCATTTGATTCATATTGAATGAGCTCTAAATGTTAAAAATTTATAATAACATTTTTTTATCCATTAAGAATACCCCAACCAATCTATTTAATTAACAATAGTCATTCAAAGAGTTTATATATATAATAAAAGACTAAAAAGTGTTTATTTATAGAATTTTTAAAAAATTAGGAGGAAAAATATTATAAAGTTACATCATTTTAATAAATTTATATTGAAAAGGTTAAAATAACATATTTTTAAAGTATAAATAAGATTATTTTAGTTTTTTCTCATGATGTCTTATTTAATATTTATTAACCATATTTTAAAAAAAAAAATAAAGTAAAATACCAAAAACTATATCATTTTGATAAAGTATCACCAATAAAATTCAAAATAATCTCATTTCTTCTAGAAAAATGATCTCATCTTGTTTTTAAAATATATTATTTTAGTGTTTTTTAATGGAAGTTTAGTGAAATAACATAGTGATAGAATATTTTTCCTTCTAATTTTTTAGAGGATTAGTTGATAAATACTAAAATGACATATTTTTAAGGCAGGAATGAGATTATTTTGTTTTTTTAGAGTATTTTATTGAAATGACTTAATTTTAACATATTTAAAAAAAAAATTGATACATATTCAATTTAATATATTTTTTTATATTTGTTTTTATTTAACTATTAAAATATAATATAAATACAAACAATCCAATTGCTTTTCACATTTTGTATGCATGCCTAACTATATCTTTAATTTGTTTGCTTTTAATTTTAAATTAAAAAATAATGATTTAATGAGTATATTATATAATATATTAAATCAAAATATATATTAATTATTGTCTTTTTTTTCTTAATTTTTTTTTAAATGTTTGATTGATAAACCATGAACTTTGTATATATAAAGATTGCTAACTAAATATAGAGTCCCACGTTTTGCGCTTCGCAATGCACAAAACTTTTTCCCCAAATAAAAACCCTTTTTGTGCGTGTGTATGTATTTAAGGATAAAAAAATGTTCGGTTAGAATAATCAATGAAGACTGTATGAACAGTTGAACAGTGTACAATCCAAGACTCAAATATTTTAGGTAGGAAATATGAAAATTTTCGCACTAAGGACAAAAATTGAAATATAATTACAGGTATGACGTTAAAAACCTTTCAGTTTCACCCAGGAAATGTTACTCCAAAATCACAACAAAATGAAAAGAAAAAAAATTGTTAATTATACAAATAATAATTTCTTTTGTTTCAAGAGGTTAGACCCCAACAGTATGGTTCATTAAAAAAAAAAAAAAGGGAAGATCCCAACAGTATGAAGCCTCTGCCTCATATTTTTTAGTATTTTAATAATGTCCCATAGTCTTTCTCCTTAAACCTTTCCTTTCTATTTGATGCATATTTAGCTTTAGAAGAAGCTGAACGTGAGAGCCAACAACGAAGGAGTTAAAAAAAAAAAAAAAAAAAAAACCCACACAGAAGAAGAGAGATATTAAACTTGCCTTCTCAGCTTGGTTTTCTTTGATTGACTGTGTATTTAAGGCAGAGTAAATAAAATGGCCTACAGCCTGCTGACTCAACTCGGTAGACCAAATTGGTGTGAATAGTTGCCTTCCCTCCTCTTCCCTCCACTACTATATAAAGCCATTCACATGGTTATGGTAGTATTTGAAAGGTCCTTTGAAGGAGAGAAGTAGAAGAGAAGGGGTGAAATTAAGTATCCATGGGAAGACCTCCTTGCTGTGACAAAGTTGGCATCAAGAAAGGTCCATGGACCCCTGAAGAAGATATCATCCTAGTCTCTTACATCCAAGAACATGGTCCAGGAAACTGGAGATCAGTTCCCATAAACACTGGTATTTCTTCTGTTTTCTTTCCTATTTTTCAGTCAACTATGATGGGAATTCTTTAAATTTTTTGTTTTTGATCTAAATCCAAAGCCGTAAATGTCAGGTTACATTTTTTAAGATCAAAACACATACTAATTGGTTATTTCCAATCTTATTTTAAAAGGGTTGCTAAGATGCAGCAAAAGTTGCAGACTCAGATGGACTAATTACCTCCGACCGGGAATCAGGAGAGGAAACTTCACTCCTCATGAAGAAGGAATGATCATTCATTTGCAAGCTTTATTGGGAAACAAGTAATTTTCTTCTCTTCAATCAACAATCTCAATTTCATCATTTTCCCCTGAATTCTGCATCTTCATCATTCTTTTTTTTCGCACCTAACCATTTTATGGATCAAACTAGGTGGGCAGCAATAGCATCATATCTGCCACAAAGAACAGATAATGATATAAAGAATTATTGGAACACCCACTTGAAGAAGAAGCTGAAGAAATTTCAGTCAGCTTTGGACCCCCACATGGCACAGCAAGGCTCCACAACCTGCAGTGAGTTTGTGTTGAAAAGCTTCAATGAGAGAAGGAGCACAACTTTTCCCAGCTGCCAAACAGAATCAGCCCTGACATTGAACCATGGCGGCTCCACCTATGCCTCAAGCACTGAAAACATTGCCCGGTTACTTGAAGGCTGGATGAGATCATCCCCAAAATGCAGCACCAACAGTTCCTTGATCATCAAAGAAAATTGGAACCCAAGCAGCAGCCTTGATAATAACAATGATGGCAGCATTGGGAATAACAGTTCAGCTGCTACGAGTTCCCTTCAGGGATACAGGCCAAAAACAGAACAAGATGGAGGAGGAGGAGCGTTGACCCCCAATGAAGAATTTGAGTCCATTTTATCATTTGATCATCACAACATAAACAGTACTAATGTTGCATGGGAAAAATCAAGCTCTGATTCTCCTTCAAGGGGCAATTTCCAGGCTTTCTCTGCAGATCACCTTCATGATCAGGGGAAAGTTAATGCTGCAATAGTGCTGGAGAGGAGGCAGAAATTGGATAACAATAACAACCCTCCATTGTCATTTCTTGAGAAGTGGCTGTTGGAGGAGACTACTGAACAAGCAGAAGTGATGAATCAAATGATGGAACTGTCTTCAATATTCTCACGTTAAATTAATGTCTTCTTTGTTTTTCTACTTCCAATCTAGATTGGGAAAAGGAAAAAAAGGAGGAGAGGGGGTTTGGGTACATCTCAAGGGTTAATTCTCTCAATTGGGATCTCTTTCCAAATTGTAATTATCCCTTATTAGTGTTTATGTTCCAGTAGTTTTAGTTGCTCTATATTGTCATTAGTTTGTATGAACTTTTAGTTTTCAGTAAAAGTAGCTGATTAATTGACAATCTTATCTTGCAGTAAGAATTCACAATACTTTATGATTATTAGCAGAGATGAGGGGGCTTGAGGAATAAAAACTTTGGTCCGTTAAGTTATAGTTTTATTCTTTTAATCCTCTTTTTATTTCATACATTTTAATTATTTTTTGACCCTTGTTTTTTCAAAGATTAGTTTTAGTAATTATGAGAAAAATGAAAAAATAAAGATAAAATAAAATAAAATAAAAAATAAAAGATTAATTGAATACAAAGTTGTCTAATATTATCCTTTATAAAATAGTTGTTTATTATTATCTTTTTTTTTTCATTAATGCCCTTCTACTTTTGTTTTTATTTATTTATTTATTTATTTATTAGTGTTCTTCTATTCAATATATATTTATTTTATCTTTCAATTGGTGTCACGTGTATAATACTATACCATCAATTAATATTAGTTTATTATTAAAAACTAATAAATTTTAGCTTAATATAATTTTTTATGAATATTTTTTATTGACTTTTTAATTAATACAAAAATGCATGGTTTTTTTTTTTTTTTTTTAATTTCATTTGGTACTCCCTAAAAAAAATTTCTGACTTTACCACCGCTTATGATATAAACAAATAGATGTATATTAATTTAGCACTCGTTAAGTGAAAATAGCTAATCACAACTACCACCAAATAAAATTTACTTATCATACTGCTGGGTCACAAAATCAGAATCAATCTTGATCATCTTCTTTTCATAACAAGTGGCTGCCAAAGAATACAATAGATTTGGAAGGCTATACCTAAATGTTGAATACTCTAAAACCCAGTAAGTTTCTTGACATTACCACCATTAGGCCAAAAAAGGTAACGGCATTAAAGTTGTGAAGGTCATGAATTAATTGGAAGTACTAAGCACAAAACTTTGCAGCAATTAATCAATGAATATATATAGCATGGTCTTGCTAACAAAGGTAGAGTAGGGTTTAATTTAAGGCATGCCTACTTTTGCTGCTGATGAGTCAGCGAATTTGGGGCGGCAAAAATTAGGGCCGCGATAATTAATAAGAATATTAGCAGCATAAGCACACACTCAACCTGCCAACGAAGCCTCAGCCTTGTGGTTAAGGTGAAGGCCCTCACATTCTTAGATCTCATATTCAAGTTTTGACGTGTGGAGATTATGGTCTAATTACTTTATGCAACTTTTTTTTTTTTTTTTGATTTTAGATTATACAATAAAAAACAATTTTCTCTTATTTTTTAACTCACCTTACTTGCATGTTAAGTAGTTTAAACTCAAGATATTTTATTTTAAAAAAATATCACTAAATTATTTAAATTATTAAGTTTATGCTGCTTTGTCATTATTTGTAATTTGGTTTAAAAAGTAATTGAAATGTGTATTTTTTTTTTTTTTTGAAGGTTAAGATATTTTCAAGCTAATTTAATGCATTTCAAGGAAAAACTGCTTCCAAAAAATTTTAAAATGCACCCGGCATCAAGTAGGGGAACCCGTCCTTGGAGTTATAACATATTAAATGTTAATTGGTTATCATTATGTCTATACCTCTTAAAAAGAAAACTTTGAAATCTTTACTTATAGAAAAGCATATACAACCTTTATAGTTTTATTTAATATGGGTTTGCAAAAACAGAAAATGCTAATTACTTGAAAGCAAAGAATGTGACATTGTGAAGAAAGTTGAAGGAAAGTAGCTTATAGCCATATAAGTGAAATAGTGGGAAGTGTCACGAAAGTCTTGCATCCAAATGAGGCAAAATGGTCTTCTTTTAGGGAAATCATGTGATTTCTCATTGACCTTTCGGTGTGGGAAATGATATTATTTGCACCCCCGCCCCCTTTTTTTTTTTCTCTTTTACAAAATGAAATTCATTAGATTTGTGGGAAATTTAAGGGTTTGGTTTGACCGCAGCCTCAAGATGCTTTTAGAGATATGGTTATTTACGCACCGATTACGCCATTTTTACACAATGTGGTCCCCTTCTCTCACAATTTAGTGAGATGTACTAAAAATTGAAATTAATCCATGATTTTGAGTCTCAATATATTATTTAACTATTGAAGTAAATAATTTTTGATTCTCTATTTCTATCACTATTTTGTACTTATGAATTATGATCAAGTTCGGTTTATGCTTATTGACCGAAAATGCTCAGTTTATGCTACACATGGGTACTTTTATATTAAGTAAAGAATCCATGTATAACTTATAGCTAGCTTCACAAGATTATGATATAAAAAGAATAGGTTCAATTCTAAAATTCAGTTCCTAAACTTTCAATTTTAAACAATTTCAATCTTTAAACCTTATTTTCACTTAAAAATATACTTTTTATCCTTCTATCTGTTTTAGGGACTGAAAAAAGGTAAAACAAAAATTTAGGAACTAAAAAAATACCAATTAGACAAACTTAATGAATAAAACTCACAGAATGATAAAAGAATATATATTTTTCATAAATAAAAGATAAAAAAGTATAAAAAATAATTTAAAAACTAAAATTATTTAAAATTAAAATTTTAAGAGTTAAATTTGACGCTTAACCAAAGAATAAGGCTTTAGCATTTTTGGTAAAAGAAATTTGGCAGCTTCTTTACCAAACATAGGATGGCTTGTTGGCACCAGTTAGCAAATAATTAACAAAAACGATAGGACTGAAAAACAATGTTCTTTTTTTTTTTTACTAATTTTTTGATATCCGGCAATTAATTTAGATTTCGATTAATTCAAAATCAAGTCGGATCGGATCTTATTAGAAAAGAAACTCTTCCAGCACCTGTTTCTTTATTCATAAAATTTGAACTCGAAATCTTATTTAAGTAGAATCGAGTTCTTTCCATTCGAATTAATAAATTATTGCTAAAAAAATAATGCTCTATTGATTTGACTGGTACGATGCATAAAATTCATCTAACAATATATTGAACTGCTGTTTCAGTGTTTTTTATTTTTCTATTTTTCTATTTTTTTATTTTTTATTTTCTCAATTTTAAATAAAATAATAATAAATTAATTAAAATTTGAGATTACAATTTAAAACAAATGATATAATATAAACTATATTATTTAAAATATTAAAAAAATTATATATTATTTAATAATTATTTTTTAAATTTTATAATATTATACATGTAAATTAACTTAATAATATAATATAAGCGATGATATTAACTTTAAATTTTCATTCTAAATTTTTCGTGCTCCCACCGTCACTCCTTTAAATATTTCTTTTTAGTGTATTCACATTAGCACAGGGATTGTCGGTCAGCTATTTTTTACAAAATAATTATTTTTTAAAATTAAATAGAAACTGCTGGGTAAAGCAGTTTGTAAAGCAATCCGGTGAAACCACTTGTCCTCTAATAATTTCGCCGATAAAATAAAGGCAATCAAATTGTACTCACTTCATCGGTAAAAGTTGAGAACAGATCTCGACAATAAAGTTAAAAAATTCATAAATAATTACCGCTTTCTTAATAGCTTGGAATTGAATCCTTACAAAACTACCGCACAATTGGTTTAACTAATAACTACTATCTTTTGTGAAAATTTTAAATGTAAGTTAAAATTTAAAATTTAAATTTAATTTACAATTAATTAATAGCAAATAAAATAATTATCTATATATTTAATTTATATATTTTTTATTATATTTTTAATGTAAAATTTATGCTTAACACATCCTTACTCTTGTTATGAAAATCTTAGGTTGTGGATTTAAAACACTTGCAAATTTAATCCATCACATAGATCTCTAGGGATCTATATGATATGTTTTATCCTCGTGTAAATTTAAATTGCAATGAGAGCTTAGACTTCTCAAAAATGAAAACATGTTTTAATATTATATGCACCTAAACTTCATAATTTGATGGCTATATATATATATATTTTTTTTTGTAAGATACATCCTTCAATCTTAAGATTGAAATCTAAATCTTTTCTTTAGATTATGATTTGTTCAAAAAATTTTGATATTATATAAAATTTAAATATGTAAGTAAATCAAAAGTCTTGTATTTAATTTATAATTAATTAATAAAAAATAAAATAATTTTTTATATTTAAAATACATATTTTTTTATTATTTTATCAAGGACTTTCCCACACCATTTGAAATTGTCCCTCCATTTCAGGAATCTCGTAAATACAGGGAGCCAAAATAAAAAGAATCAATCCCTCTGATTTCACTGAGACGTACGTCTGCAAGGCAAATTAACCAAAAAAAACAAAATTCTCTCTCCATTTCAGTACAACTCATTCGTTTACTTGTTCAAGTAAACGTGCCATTTGTCATGACATAACATCTGTACGAAGGGGATCACCAGTAGCATATAAATTTCATAATATGGTCCTTGTCTGCAATGCATAAAAACACACGTCTGTACGGAAATGATCGTCTGCACTCTGCAGCGCACGCTCAATTTCCAAATCTAGTACGGGATAGAAGCAGGGTTAAAATTTCATATCGTGTCATTGTGCCAAAAAATTTCATATCGTGTCATGCTGACGTACTTGAATCAATATTGTTAATTTATAGAAAAATTGGAACATTTAATTTAAAATTAGTTGGTAACACTTGCTATGGTTATGGCAACAGGTATTTTTGTTAAGGATACTATTTTTATTAATATTTTATTAATTTAATTATTAAAATATAAAATAGTTGATATTTATTATTTAATAAATTAAAATCAATTTACAAATAGATATTTCCAAACATCATGACTAAATATTTAAAAAAAATTATAAATTGATAAACTATCAGTCAAAATTGTGTGATATCTTCATAAAAATGTGTGATTATAACCATTACAAGTAATAAGGTGCTAAATTTTTTTCAGTACAAATAATGTAATTTCAGTCCCTACAATTTTGAGTTGTAGGTTTCTTGTCCTGATTTCTAAAAAAACATAAAAATAAAATTGAATTTAGGGAAACCCCACCCCGCCAACATTTTCCCTTTCTCCAAATTACTGGTATTCCTTTTACCTTAAAAGG